GTTGTATCGAGAAAGAATTAAACTAGTTTTGATTAAGAAAGGACTTGTATCGCTGAAGTTTCTCGGAAAGAATTTCTACGGGAAATTAACAAACAGGCAGTTACGTAACACTACATAATGAGCTATCTGTGCTGTGCCAAGCGAAAGTATCTAAACCTGATTTTTAGCGTGATAAGCTCCCAGCCTTACCTCTGAGCCACGATGGGGCGATTGAAAAAATGCCCGCTGTTCTTTCACGTATTATGGATTATTTTGTGATGACATAATGCTTAATTCAGATAAATATGTTAACTATCCAAAAGAAAAAAAAATGTGATATGGTTGTATCATAAACTAACCCTTTCTATAACATAATATATGAATATATCTATATTCATACATGTTTCTTAGAATTATAATATATGTCTCTGTAAATAAATGAAAGCTCTTGACGATGAAGATGTGTTCTATGTATTCTAATATTGTAAACAGGCTTTTGTCTTCCATATTCTTAGGCTTAATCGCAAGACTTCTCTGTCTTTACGCCTAACCTGTTCGCTGGATAATTCATTGAGCGGGTCTCAACGGGTTGTTTAGCTTTTGATTATGAACCACGATAGTAGTTCATAATAGGGATCGCAAGGAATTGCACAAAACTCTAATAGAACATCCAGGCAAAAAGAACCTTAAGCAGTAAAGATTGAGTTCAAACAACACTTTAAAACCTTTACTATTGACTGCTAAGGCTGTGCACATAAAAAAATGAACCAAAAAAAAAGCACGCATATTCGACTTACAAAAAAAAGAAAATTCACTCAAACCGGCCTGTTTGTAATTTTTCTTCTTATTATTATTCTCTTGTGAGCTTATAATAAAAACGGCTTGGTATATTGTACCCAAACCTTTTGTAGAATATTAAAAAAAGTACTGTGAAAGTCGTAAGGGTATTGACAAGTCGATTTATGTCTATTATATTTTACATAAGCTAAAACATCATAATTCTAGTGTAAATGATGTTATCGTTACCCCTTTAAGTTAGCTTCTTGTTAACATCTGGTGAAACAGGAATTACCAGCCAATAATAGATGTGCATTATATGAACGTAATATGTAGATGCTTTATATACTATACAGTCTGTGTTTTTAGCCAACCTCTATATTATGTATGAAGTGAAGGAGTAAAAACATCAATACACATAATATTAAATTTTATTACACACATTCGTAGAATAATTACTTTAAAAGACATAATGGTTTATTTAAAGGGATGTTTTAGACGTATATGTTTTATTTTAAAAGGCTGCTTTTCAAATGGTAAAATGTTATACGCGCTTAGTGGGTTTTGTCGTAGTGTAGGCATATATTTCCTTATTGCTATGCGTTATATACATAGAGAATTTTTTACACAGAAACTAAAAGTGCTCACTATAGTTTGAAACAAATCTCCATGACAATTTCCATCTACAGCTTAACATTCTACACCTCGAACTAATGCGATCAAATAGTCGATAGCTATAGTAAATCATTATGAACCCTACCAGTTAGATACTAACTATGTTTATTATCATTACAATGTATAAAGTCAGCTACCATATCAAGTAATCCTTTGCCCATAGTTGAGCATAAAAAAGCCAGAAAACAAAATAAATAAAAAATGAGGATTTATAAACCTGAAAATAGTGATCGTAGAAAAAAGGAAGCAAACAAGACTGAAGATACCGTAGACATTATCTACTCAAACTACAAATCCCTATTTTGACTCTACTAAATGTAATTCTAAGGAACAGCATGGAGCCAAAATAAGAGCTTGTAGCTTGAGTAAATAATGTCTACAGTATCTCCAGCTTCGTTTGCTTAGTTTTTTATGATTTCTATTTTTAGGTTTTTTAATTCCCAATTTTTTATTTATCTTAACAACAATGAAACCGAAAACGAACCAAAACCAACTGAAAGGAAAAAAAAGTTAAATATAAAATACAATAAAATTAATTAAAGTTATAATGCAAAGGAAAATTAAAATCATTATATAGATAAACAAACAAGTCAGAGTTATACTAATTGGACTATGTCCATTGCAGGGAATCGAACTTTGGATTTTACCATTGTAAGTCCTTAAAATTGCTGCTGTCCAACAGTGAGATCTATCCAAGGGTAAAAATCGTCTCCAATGTCCACTCCTAAGACTACTTACCAAGAGTATGATCTCCATACTACATTTCGATCAGGCAATTGTTGTGTTAATTTACCACCACTCAACCATACCATGCGAAATTTATCACGGACTTTCATTTATTTTTAGGTTCTGTTAGGAATCAATGAAAGAATATTTTAAACATTACATTTTACATGGAAATCCACTAGTCTTATTAGCCAGAAGTCCCAGTCCAAAAGTCTCTTTTAAATTATCACCTTTTTTATGTAAAACTTAATGTTGAAATATTTTCTTTGCGTGGATTCCTTGGCATATGTTGATAAGAATACGAAGGTATTAGATTGAAATTTAATGGATATTGTAGCATCCAGAGAGTTTCTCAACTTTTTAATATATCCGGTACTCCATGAAAAGACACCATATTGGTTAGTTAGCACAAATCTCGTTCTAGAAAATGGCGACAATCTGGACCAAGGAGCAACAATATTGAATATTTAAGACCCTTTGCGCGTATCACCTTTGTTTTTCTAAATTTAGGTTACAACCTTATTATTTTATTATGTGTGTAGTAGATAGTAGTTTATAATAATACAGAATTATGGAATATTAACACTGTAATAAAGCAGTAGTCGTAAATTAACAATCTTCACTTTTTGGTAATAAAATAATTATTTTGATTCTTTTTTCAGTGAATTTAGCGTATTACACAAAACTCTTTGCACACCATCTTGTGGCACGTATGCCTTGGGTTGCCGACCCCTAATCTAAATGTTAGTGGAAAAACTTGACTTCGTCTTCATTTTGGAAATGTTACAAGCCAAACAAAGGTAGTTATCCAGTTATCTTGTTTCCCAGGCGTAGTTCTCTCGCTTTTACTTGGCTCTCACCACCATCCTTTGTTAGCTATTCTCCATGCACTTCATCTCCAAGGCTATCCATTGTTCCTCTGAGGGTTTTTTTGATGGATATTTATTCCCTTCAATTCTCCATGGTGGTGTGCTTTTCTTTCTTTGCCTTTCCCTGCACATACGGCTCGTTTGCTGTTGGGATCATTTGGGTTGAGATGCATATTTAACTCATGTTCATCCACCCCAAGTATTTATGTGATTTATATTTGGCCCATTTATACGTCAATCTGTTTTTGAGGGTTCTCCCAGATTTCTTAGAGTCTCATAAATAGGTTGCTCGACAGCAAACTTCCCCATCTTTCCTCATCACTTGTTTGTCGTAGCCTTCTTCTGTCCTTGCCTCCTTCTTCTTTCTTGCCCATACCTTCTTCGTGTATTTTGGTAATGAGTCAGCATTAGGGGTGGTATTCTGCCAGTGTAGATGGTTTGTTCTTTCTTCATACCATGGACCTGATGTACAGTTCCATATATCATCTGGTTATGGACTGGATGAATCCACCACATGCAGTTCACCCACTCTGGCTGAGAATCCTCCTTCCTACCACCACCTGGATGTTGGTTTCTGGGTGTGCTGATGTTGGTTGGAGCTGGACTGGCCAACATAAATCCCCACACATATAGTTGTGCTGGGACCGTCATCCTACTCCAGAATAGATGATACATTTCCAGTGCCTCCTGGTTTGGGTAGTTGTCCCTCCACTTTGCATTCCACCTTCCTACAATTGCCTGAATGTTGGGTTCCTGGGTAGCTGGTGTTGGTTGTGTACCAGGTCTGTGCATGTGCTGACTTGAATGGAAGTCTTCTTTCCTTTTTTATTCCTCAGCCCTGAGTGAAAAAAAGACTCATTTCAACAACAACAACAAAATTATTCACGATAACAACACTTAGAAAAAGTCAACACTTACCAAAACACAGTTCATAAACAAGTGTCTGGCCGGGACATCATACTAATATTAATAAACAGTTTATCATAAATATTAATAAATCAATAATAATGGAATCAGGAAAAAGAACCAGAAAGAAAAACCCAATTCCAAGCAAAAAATAGAGCAGATACAGTATTCCAACAATACCTTTCAATATGGAGTTCCAAATAGCAATAACTATAACCTTCAATAACTATCTCGTGACTCACTTTCTTTACACACACGACAAAAATCACTT